TGCGCCATAGAGAAATATCATGCATGATCGAAAAAGTCCTCTTCGACTTTAGAATGGAAAATATTTTGACTAAAAGGATGAGTGCAATCAAGGAATGCTGCTTTTTTTCGTCCTGTCCTCACACTACTAAATAAAACGGAGATAATATTGGTTCTACCTTGTTTTAGCAACTTAGTCGGAGCTACACCATCTTGGTCTTCATATCTACGATCTAAAACAGTATAGCCTATATGCTATGAAACCACACTGCTAATCAACTATTATTACTTTTTACGTGAATGCAATACTATGCTTACGATAATGATATGGGATCGGTGAATAATATTGAATGAGGAATATAGGGAAAATGAAATACAAGGCTTACACTAAATAAGCATTCCAAACATTGCCAAACGTTGTGCAGGATAAATTTGTCATTAACTGCTAATAGACGGCAGAGATTACGTGTTAGGAGTGGATAAAATTCTGGAAGCACGCGAGCGATTACTTCAAAAGCTTCTTCTGCTTCATCTTCCAGATCCAAATCATCCTCATCGCTTTCAGTGAGAATATCACTTTCCTCATCATCCTCATCATCTTCTTCATCACTTTCGTCTGTTTCGGAGTCGGAGTAGACTGAACTTGTAGCGTCATCTTCATCTTCGCTATCTGTCGTTGAATCTGTGCTCCGAGTTCCAGCTGTCGTCATGACAACAGTACTCTTTTTTTTTGCTTTCGGCGACTTTTGAGCCTTATCCTTCCCTCCTACCTCTGCACCAGCAATATTCACATCGGTAGCTAAGATTCCACTCCCTTCACCATTCGCATTTATTCCTGTGCCAGAAATGGCTGCAACATGGGCTAAGCGGTGCTCATTAGCAAGCATAAGATAGGCTGAGAGCAGTCTAACGCTGGCCAATTTGTAGCCAATAGTTCCAAACACAAGATGGGTAGATGGCTGGGGGATTTGAGGAGGATGAGGTGTTAGAGACGATTGCTGTTGGTGCTGTTGTGACTTAGACACTTTGCCAGTAGTGCCGGCCTGAGTTGGGCCCAAGGGTCCAGTAGATGACATACCATTTATCAGATCGGAAAGGATGGTGCGCACACCACTTACTTCCGAAATGCAGATGAGAACTGCAGCGCAGTGTGACAACTCCTGAGAAAGAACGAAAAGACCAAAAAGTAATAAGTTATGTCATGAACTACTTCAATAGCTGAGATGAATCTTTCTGAAAAACTCGACCGTAGGATAATTGATTTGAACATTTTTACATTGAAAAATATAATTAAAAATAATCAAGAAGCACACACCTGACTTAGGAGCAAAAATGAATTTGTTTACTGCTATATTTGTATCCCTGCGCAACAATATAACTAAGTATAAATTATAGTTGATGTTCGTCTGTAAATATAGTTAACCAAATAATTCCTTCAGAAATGTGCAGAAGGAAGTTTTATCGGACAATCCATAAAAAGAACACTATTTTTCATCACAAAAGCCAACTATGGCAATAATACTGAGTTAAATTATGAAGACATTGGACATTTCACCTTTTATTTGAGCAATATAAATGGTAAGATGTCATGGCAATAATCGGAGCAGAATATTTTTTTACCGAGACGCGTACTATAAAAGTAGTTGATCATATTCTATGGTGTCTTTAAAATATACAAAAGTAAGAAATTCTGAAAAAAAACA